CGGGTGCTGCCTCTTGGACTGTCACCTGTGTGTCATTGTTTGACTTCCCTTTTCAGGGTGCAATCCAGAAAGTTCTTGTCTCAAATGTTTGCCATACTAAAGCATCTTTTCCATTGCCAAGAACCATCCTATTAACTGAATTCAACTAATAGAGTCCAATTAACAGGAATCCAATCTAGGATCTGACTTTTCAATAGCATTTCATACTATTGCTTCCTTCTAGTTAAAAGGGTAAAAGTAAGAGTTGGAAAGGAGCATTAAATTCAACTATGCCCTTAATTGAGGCTCTCTTCCAGTGGTAATAACGATAAAGTATATTTAGGTAGAATGTGCTTACAAAATTCAAGGGATCTCACAATTACCTGCATGTTCAAAACCGAACCTTCGCTTTCCCCCTCCTGCTCTCCCGCCCTGGGGTCTCCTTAGGGTTTTCCTCATCTCAGTCAGTGTCACTAGCCTTCATCCTACTGCTCGGGCCAGGTGTTTAATAAGCATCTTGTCCCTTACCCCCACCCCCTCCTTGCTTCCCCTCCAACCCTGGTCCCCAAACCCATTCATTTCCTCAACCTCATCACCAGCCCCACACCCACCATGGTTCCCTTTACCCCTCAGCCAAGGCTTTCCTTCCAACTGGTCCCCCACTGCCAGTGTCAGCCCACTCTGATTTGTCCCCGCACAGGAGCCCGAGCTGTTGCCTTAAAACATAAACTAAAGGAAGTCATCTCCTTGCTTAGACTCCTCCAGTGATCTGGAGTTGAGTTACTAGTCTTGCACCTGTGTTAATTTCTAAGTTCTGGTAAATGTACCGTGGTTACAGTCAGAGATTTGCATTAGTGGAAACTGGGCAAAGTGTATAAGGAGAGCTCTCTATGCTATCTTTACAACTCTTCTCTAAGCATAAGATTATTTCACAATTCTTTAAAATGTTTTTTAATTCTCCAAAAACTTTCCTTCGACTTAAAGAAAACACGATATTAACAGATGGAAGAAATCAGCCTGCCACTGAGACCTTCATCCCTAATCCAAGTAAGTGTGTCTCAGGAGGCATCCTTCTCTCATCCTCTTGAAAGTTTTGGATATCTTGTGACCCTCAGCTCAACATTTCAGTGCTTGGATTCCCTCCTTTCCCCCATGTCCTAGTTCCATGGACCAGATAAATATAGAGATTACAAAAATTCTGTATATCATCCATGGGAAAGGGGAAGCCTTCAAAACAAGCAGAGTGGACTTCATGGTTCTGTTTAGGAATAAGAAAACACGGTAGAAATAGCTGTCATTTATTGCACACTTTACTGCATGCCAGGCACTTAGTGAAGTATTCGCCTTACGTTGTCTCATTTGATCCTTCACAATGATGTCCCCCAAATACCTAGGATAGGCATACCATAGGTGCTTGATAAATGTTTAGCTATTAACAAATGAACCATCCTCTAACATAAGTACTGTTAATATCTCTGTTTTATAGATGAGAGTTCTGAGTCTTAGAAGAGCTAAGCAATTTGTGCCACGTGACCCAAGCAGGATGTGGGAAATCGACTGAACCCATATCCAGCCTTCCCTGTTGTGACAGCTAATCGTCACAGCCCTCCACTCCAATTCCCAAACTCATTTGGATACAGGTTCATAATATTGCCTAATCCTAAAGCACAAATATTGCTTAATACTCCCCCAAATCTAAGGGTTTCACCCTCACACCCAGGACTTCCCTACTGGCTTTCCGGATGATTGGATCTGCATGCTGTTCTGAATGAAAGAACAACCTCATAAAGAGACCTTTCTTCAAAGTAGCATTTTGCCCTTTAAATTTGAAAGTCATCTGACACTGTATTTTTTTCATTAGTTCAGGGTTGCTGAATTTCCACTCACTTTTTCAGTGAGTGGCTATACAGGGAAAACACACCGCTTAGGAAGTCCAGATCAGCTTGGCTGAGTAACCGGAGGGTGGAAACACTGGTTTGACTGGTGTTCTCCCCAGCCCGGGCTGCCCGTCTGAACCCGGGAGAGGGCAGCCAAATAGCTCTCCTAAGGCTTCCAGCCTTCACCTGGGGAACAGGAAGCCACGGGGGCAGAAAACATGGGCAAGGAGGTAAAGGGGAATCAGAAGCATCTCTTAGAGAATCAAAGCAAGGAGAACGGTACTATTTATTGAACAGAACAGTCATAGAGGAAGACGATGGGACTGGTGTCCCTGGAGTTGTGCAATATAGCAGACACCTCTGTGGGCCAACACCTGCGCTGAACACCTTACACAGGTTCTCTCCATTCATTCTCACAACAGACCTTTGTATCAGCGGTATTATTAAGTACAATTCCAGTGCAGAAAGTGAGGCTCAGAGATGGTGTGCATCTTGCCCAAAGTTGCACAGCTACTACGTGAGAGTAGAATTTTGCCAGCTGTATGAAAGTCAGTAAGAATATAGAGACGGTGTCTGCAGTGGCGAAATGGCCTGGGCTTTAGGAGACGTGGATTTTAGTCTTAGACTGTTTCTTACTCGGTATGTGTTCACGGGCTAATTCCTTCCCTGCTCTGAGCCTCGGTTTCCTCATCTGTGAAATGAGGAAACTGGACCACACTGGCCGATACATGGGGGGTTACTGCCTACCGATAGTTGGTGTTTGGGGAGAGGAGGACCTAGTACAGACCGAAACAGACGAAGACAAAAGACACAGAGGAGCCACCGGAGGTAATATTTGATCTGGGATTTAAAAGAGAAGAGTTTGTGGGACCAGATTAATGAAAGGGGATTTGGAATTTCAGGTATTGGGAGAGGTATGTTCTAAAGGACAGAACTAGTGAGCATGATAGTTAGGAACACTGGTGGCTCGGAAGCCAGAAAGGCTGAGAGTCAAATCCAGCTTCATGTTTCCCAGCTGGAGAGTTGTCTAGTTAACTAGTCATCTCAGTTCCCTCATCTGTAAAAAGAGGGAAATAGGAGAACCTACCTTATGCGTATTGGGAAGATTAAATGAGATGGTCCACATAGTTCCTGGCCTACCATAAACCCTCAATGTTAGTAAGTAGCCTCTGGTATTACTTCCGCTATTTTTATGAAAGCTTTAAGAAAATGACACATTCAGGGAAGGGCAAGGATTGGTGTGGCTGGCCACTCACCCATTCAGCAAATGCTTATTGATAGCGCATGTGTACAGGCGTGTTCTGGATTGATAGGAGGAGGTGGAGTGGGAGGCAGGGACAGTGACAGGGAACAAAAAAGTCAGGTGGGAAGCATTGTGTAGAGCCTGCTGCACTAAAAAGAGGAAATTGGTATTATCTTGAAACTATGGTGAGGTCTAGTAGGATTCTGATCAAAGGATCACACGTGCAGCACAGCCAGACTGGAGGCCAGGAAATGCTGGGCAGTAAGGGGAAGGGAGAGGCTGTCCTGACCTGGGGTCAGGCTGGGGGCAGTGGTGATGGAGGTGAGAAGGTAGAAGGGAAAGATGTTAAAGAGGTGAAAACTAAAGCATAGAACTTGGTAATTGGTTGGATGTTAAGAGACAGGGAAAGGAAAGAATTTAGGAGATGGATGGATGATGGATAAATGGATGAATGGACAGAGGGATAGATGATGGATGGATGGATGGATGGATGGATGGATGGATGGAAGAATATGTGGGTGGATGAGTGGATGGATGATGGGGCATGGATGAATGAATAAGTGAATGCATGGATGGATGATGGATGAATAAATGATAGGTTTGGATGTGAAGAAGCTCAGCTGTTTCAGACAAAATATAACTCATGTTTCTTCCTCATATCCCATGAAGAGGCATTTCTCAACTCCTTAATATTCTCCCAAATAAGTGACACCAATTTTACATCCAAGGATATTTGTAGCATACATATTCTAAAATACTTTGAGCTTCAGAGTAATGCTTCAATTACTTCATGTGCTGGTCTCTGGAAACCCCTGTGGGTTGCATTGTGAGGGGAGAGAGGTCCGCTGCATTGAGAGATAGAAAACCGCCACCTCTGCATCCTACCACAGTGCAGGGGTGGGGAGGGGGTTGTAGATCACTTCTGTTCTCTGCCTCCCTGCTTGTTTTTAAATCTGTGAGTTGAAGTAATTGAGTTAGATGCTCCGGGAGTTTCTATCAAGCCCTAACCTTTCCTACATGAAATTAGATGTCTCTGTGACATTATCTGGAACACCAGAAAGTGCGTTGTATGGAATTTATTTACAATAATGAATGTGTCACCTGGGTGTATATTCTAATTAAGATAACTTTCTCTAAACTCCATACCTTACTTCAGCTACCAGATTGTCTGGATTCGAACCCAGCCCTGCCAACTACTAACTGTGGAAGCTTGGGTTAGGCTCCAGTTTGTTCCAGTTCTCTCTGTTCTACCTGCTCTCCTGCTCCTAGAGCTAGGAAGACTTTGGTCTTTAGTTACATTACTGGAACAAGATAAGAAGAAATGTCTTCATTTTTCTAAAATGACATTCCAGCTGGAAACCTGGGGTCAGTTTAGTAGATACTCGAGACGCAGCATGCACTCTCCTTCCCCATCTCACTCCACCGAGTTGGACTCCAGAAATCTTAGAATTTTAACCTACCATAACCTGAAACAGTGATCACTACTTATAAGCATCATATTTACATTGCAAATCGAATTCAGTAGAATGACTTTCAATCACCATAAATGACAGAGCTCAATCTTCAATATATTTTTTTAACAAATCAAAAAACTAGAATATCTTCTTCCTGACTTGTCATACCACCTGAAAGTCCACTATAAACATCTGTTTTAAACAAGCCCTACTGTAAATATAAACCTTAAGTTTTTACCAGCTAATGCATGATTATTTTCCAAATCCACAAGATTGATAGACAAAAAAATGAACCTTGGTACAAATGAATTAATCACGAGAGAGAGAGAGTCAATAAAAGATACTTCCTACTATGGCACAATTTTCCCAGAGGTTCAGACCAGGCTGAGAAATGCAAGGAATTGTGTGCCTGGACTCGAAAACCTCACTTTAGAGATTTTGCTTGTCAGAACTTATATGACTGCAGAAATACAGTGACAAATGAACTCAATAATTAATGTATAAAAAGGCTCAATGCATAAAAATGTGAAATTGGTCATGTGATTCAAAGTCCTTTTTTGTTTGTTGCGTTATAGTTGCCAAACAATTTCCATGGCAATAGCGGTGGCCAAGATATAGCACCAACACGGTGTCAGGTGTTAAACATCTCTATAGGTGTTAAACATTTGCACCGAATACACAGAGATGAAGCAGCAAATGGAAGATCTTCCTCATCATCTTCTTCAAACTGTAACAGACAAGAAAAGAAAGATCCGTTTCCTATAAAAATTCATTTAGGCTGTGACATTAACCCTTTTTGTTCCAGAAGCTAGACATAAACACGGCAATCTTTCAAAGCACAGGGAGGGTGGATTGGCAAGAAGCACTAGCTTGGCTAGTGTTAAACTTCAACAAAAGAAATGATATTTATCACCCAGTGTGGGACAAATTAAATTTGAGATGGGTCTGGAGGGCTATTTTTCTTCAAAAAGCCCCAGTACATACTTCCACAGAAAGAATGTTCTGCCTCATGCCTTGAAGAGCACCGAGTTTCATCTGAATCATTTATTACTTTTGAGTTTGGGAAGATGGGAAGGGTTTGGAAAACATAGGACTCTGATTCATAAGTATTTGATTCTATTAGTGGTGAATTTTGACTATATTTCTGTGACCGCAACTGTGAGCCGCTTGAATAAATGCTTTCCTCTGACTCAGATATGTCCCCAACCTTTCACACTTTCCTCCAAAATCCGGTTCCATGTGAAACCCAACGGCAAATCTACCAGGAGCCACTGCTGGAGAGGTTAATGAAAATGCTTATCCCAATAGGCATAAACTGAAATGTAGGAGGGAAAATCATGTAGCCACTAATAGTTCCTGCTTTGGGTTCACGGTTAGGAGTTCTACGACCTTGGCCAAATTACTTTACCCTACAGAGACGTATTTTCCTCATCTGTAGAATGGAAATCCGAATACTCACCCAGAAAGGCACACATAAGTCCCAAATGCCAGGATGTCTGGAAAGCAGTCGGCATGGTGCCTGCCACGTTATAAGCCACGATGAGTGGAAGGTACTATTGTAAGGGAACAGTGAGGGATAGAAATAGCAGGAAGTAGTGTTCGGAAAATGGGCACGACACCTCTAGATCTGGCACAGTCTGGAGCTGTGAACACCCCGACCCAAAGTGAAAGAGAGAAAAGGAGAACGGTTTCTCAAGAACTCCCATGAGCTAGAGAACAAGGACCCCCCGCCTTCTTATCTCTGCACTATTAATGCCAAGCACAAGGTGTGGCACATGGAAAATGCTCAGTGAATATTTGAATGAATAAATGAAAGAACCAGCCAAAAAATCAATTAAGTTAAAACCATGACGGTGATGATGACATCAAACATTTGTGGAGTGTCTACTAGATGCCAGGTACGTATAGCGAGCATCTTAAATAGACCCACTCATTTAATCCTCATGTCAGCTCGATCAGGAATGTCTTGCTATTACGCACATCTCAGAGAGATGGAGCTGAGACACAGAGTTGGGTCTTCTGTCCCAAGATCACATAGCTAATAAGTAGCAGGGGTGGGATTTAAATCCAGGCAGCCTGGCTCTTGATTTCATGCACTTAAATCTAAATGTCTTCGCTACCTCAATGAAGAAATTTACTATTTTTTTTTTTGAAAAAGCAATTAATGCTGATTTTGTAAAAATCGTAATGTACGGAATGGTTAACCTTTTGGTTTACTTCCTTCTAGGCTTTTTTCTATCCTTATATAAGCAGGTATGACCACAGGTCACATACAAATTTACATCCTGCTTTTTAAAAAGACTGGTTACATAATTAGTTCGTCCACAAATCTCTGTAAAGAATTTTTACAAAGTGAAGATTTGCTGCTATTAATGGTGCCCAACTCAAAAACTGGGGTTCTTCTTGGCCTTCTGGTCACAGGAACTCTGACAGAGCTTTCCTTCCAGAACCCAAATCTGGAATCTGGAAGCTGATAATCTCTGATTGGTACCTACACCCTAATTTTATATGCTCCAGAACATTCCACTGCTCCCCACAATCTGCTCATCACCTTCTTCCCCATTCCCCTCCCCATATCCCAGGCAGGTGTCTACTGGGACAACTGCTATTGAGCACAGCAGGGGATAGGAAGTGTTTGTTTTTTCCTATGAGTCCTTGTTAGTTTATTCCTCTGGGGCCTATGAGCTACAGTCTGCAGGAAGTAGAGTCCATACTTTTCAAGAGCAGCTCATAAAGTGTTACAGCTAAACCTGCAAATCCTCTGCCTGTTGCTGCTGTCCAAACACAGCATTTATTAAGCCTACATATGTGGTGCAAATAATATACAAGGGTACAAGAGTTAGAAGCCTTTATTTCACCCGATATTGACCTGCAATATCCAAGTCAGTCCCATTATTCTCAACATTACTTCACCTAGGAATATAGGGGCCCAGCGGTGGTTCCAAATTTAGCAGATTGCTGGTATCACCTTGGTGCTCGGATTTAAATACAAGTTCCTGAGCTTTCTCCACCCCTCCTGGATCAGACTTTCCGAGGGGAGTGCCCAAGAAGTTATGTTTTTAAGACTTCCTTTTTATATCTGGTGGTCAGTGCTTATGGGAACCACCAACCAAAGGCAAGGCGTAGTAGAAAACACCAGGCAACCGCATTTCAGTTGAAATGCTAGCTTTTCACACAGTAAATGTCAATCAAGATAGAAATCAATAATAAAAACACAAATAACCCAATTAAAAATGGGCAAAGGATCTGAATAGGACATATCTCCCAAGAAGATATGCAAATGGCCACAATAAATGCATAAAATGATCTCAGTATCATCAGCAATTAGGGGATTGCAAATTAAAACCACAATAAGCTACATTAGGATGGCTATAATCAAGAATACAGACAATAACAAGTGTTGGTGAGGATGTGGAGAAATTAGAACCCCCCATACACTGCTGTTGGGAATGAAAAATGGTACAGCCTTTGTGAAAAAAATACTCTGACAGTTCTTCAAAAGATTAAACATAGAGTTGTGATATGACTGAACAATTGCACTCCTAGGCATATATAAAAGAGAAATGAAAACATAGGTCCACAGCAAAACTTATTCACAAATGGTCACAACAGCATTAGTCATAACACCCAAAAAGTGAAAACAACCCAACTGGCGAAATATAATGAAATAATATCCTGCAATTAAAGAAATGAAGTACTGATAGATGCTATGATGTGCATTAACCTTGAAAAAAGTATGTTAAGTGAAAGAAGCCAGTCACAAAAGACCACATATGGTATGATTCAACTCATGTGCTATTTCCATATATGCAAATCTATAGAGAGAGAGTAGATTCGTGGTTGCCTAGGGCTCAGGGAAGGGGTGACGAGAAGTGGGGAGTGGTGGGGGTTTCCTTGGGAGGGCTACAGAATGTTCTAAAATTGCTTGTGCTGAGGGTTGCACAACTCAGAACACGCTAAGAACCATTGAATTTCATACTTTATATGGATGCATTGTACGGTATGTGAATTATATTTCGACAAAGCTGTTTTAAAACATCGGTCAAGGTAATCCGCTGGCTCGGTCAGACAGTTGTCACGATTTTGTCATTAAGATGATTAGACACACCAATGAGACCATTTTGACTCAGCCTTTTCCTTTGTTTAGATATGTTAATCATCCCAAACATGATGTCCTAAAACGTTAAGCATTTATTCATGCATCTGTGGGTCCACAGAGTGGCACTGCTGGGCTGAGTGAACTTGGCTGGTTGGATGGACCTATTCTTGTGTCCCTGGTCATCTGGCCAGTCTTGGCTGGTCCAGGTTGGTCTCAGCTGCACTGCTTCATCTCTGCCTCATGTGGTCTTTGCTTTAATGCATGAGTCTGGTTTCCGGTTTTGTTCACATGGAGATGGTGGGGGTCTAAAGGAACAAATGGACATTGGAAATTGGCATAGAGCCACATCCACCCACTCAACAGGACAAAGCAGGTTATAAAGCCAGCAGAGACTCAGGGGCAAGGGTGAGGGGGTGGCTGAAAAATCACACTGCAAAGGACAAGGATACAGGAAGGTGTAAAGAATTGAGGCACTTTTTTATAACCAGCCTATCACATACATAGTCTTTGGGGCAATAAGTCTAGCTTTTAATTTCATATTAATCACTCATCTTGCGGGTAGCTTTGGGCACATTTATTGCTTCTCATTGCAAGAAGAGATAAGGCACACTTGACCTTCAATCAGATTTCTTACTTAAAATGAGATTTAGAACTTCTTTAGGCTACTTATTTTTTTTAAATGAGGTTAAATACAAAGAGAGTATTCCATACTTATTAGCAGCAAGTGTTTTACGATCCGTGGATATAAATAAGGTGGAGTTCAAACTACCACATACCGGAAAGAGCAGAGATTTCTGAGAATTAAAAACCTATTTAGGTAATACCTACCTTGGAATGAAAGTCAAGTACAGAAAAGTTTTACATATCCAGTGTGATTCACCCATCCAGTTTATTGTGACCTTGTGTAAGACACTAGGGATACAAGAATGAATCACCCTATCCATCCCTCCCTTCTAGGAGCAAATTGGAGTGGAAATAGGGAAAGAGAACTATGTCCTAGAATCCAGAATATGAAAATTACAAGAAGGATGGATGGCCAAAAGTGGAACATGCATGTGAGAAGAGGTGACATTAGAGTCATGATGAAAGGGAGCCACTAGATTTGGCAGGGCTCATTCATTCTACAAATGTGAGTTAAGTTACAATAAACTAGGTCTTCTGTTGAACTCCAAAACACAGAATTAAGAAGGCTCCTCAACCTCAAAGAGCAGAGTGTCTAGTGGGAGAGAACAGACATCAAAAAAGCAACAATAGAGTGTGAAAAAAAGTGTTTTAATGGAGGTTATTGGTCTCCTTACAATGTATGGTTTCAGTGGAAAGAGAAAACAAAAGAAAGACTGTGGCAGGTAATGAGCGAGAGAGAAAGACAAATAACTGTAATTGAAGAGAAGGAAAAGTCAGACAGCAGCTTGAGGAAAATGTGGAGTTCCAAGAAAGTTTTGCTTTATTTTTGTCTTTGTTTTTATTTTTGTATGGAGACCACCAAAGTATGTTTGGAGGCTGATGGAAGAAGCCAGTAGAAAAGAGAAGCTTGAAAATAGAGAAAAACAAAGACTAGCACTACCTCCGGAAGGGAAACTAGATCCAGGACACAAGACGATGGTTTATTTTGGAAGGAAGTGGGGACAACTTCTTCCTCTGAGGCAGGAAGAAAAGCAGTAAACTTGGGCGAATGCCTATGCTGTTCAACAAAATGTCTGAACACAGAAAGCAGTTTGTGCCATTTGGGGGCCAAGATAAGCAATCTAGGGAGATTGATGCTGGATTTAAAAATACTGGCATTTCCAGGGATTTTGAAGATTAACTGGGAAAACAGGGCAGAATAATTAAAATTGGGAGTTTCCAGGAAAGCTAAGACAGGTGCTTGCTTAGACATCTTTTTTGGAGATGGGTGTGGGAGAAGTGGAAATAATTATGCCTGTAGATCTCCACTTCCTTGGTGGGGCTGGAGTGAGGTCGTCTGTTGAGACCCAGCAGGGTGGGATGAAGCACAGGATGTTAAGGAGAGAGGCTGCAACTGAGTAATGGACACAAAGATGGAAAAGGACACTACCCAGGACTCAGCTCCCAAATTATAGGGAGCTGCTGCCGAAGGATTTATGTATTCTGGGAGAGATGCTGAAGAGGTCATGCTGGTTTATGGGAAGCCTAATTAGGAAAGTTAATCAGATGCAAAATTATCGCAATGAATTCCATGCATTCCAAAGCTAAGGAGTTATGATTTGAGGATTACCTGCTGTTTTGGATTTGTATGCTTCCAACTGTCTTCTGTTACTGCGAAAAATTGTGTCGGCTCCATAGAGTGTCTCTATATATAAATGTGCAGGGCGTGTCACACTTTCTGTAGGTGCCACTTTTCTCTAGGCAAGCTCATTGCTTTTAAAACAGTAGTAGTACTTGTGGCAGTGTCTGGAAAAAGGACAAAACAGCCAGACACAAAACCACCACAGCCTTTGACAGTGTGTGAGTGATAAAGTCTGCCATCCTAATGCCTGAAAATATGTCTTCTCCAGCCCCAAAACGTCAGTTCTAATACCTCTCATTAAAATTTGCTTTCTTGTTTGCTACAAACTCAAATGGGTAAAGGAGAGAGTTGTCGACACTTCTATGGATATTTTAACAGTGAAATTGAAAATAACTGCACTGTAAAAGAATTGCAACTACATTTAATCATAGTCTTGATGTAGTAAAAAAAAACAAAAACCCAGCACAGGTTTTGAAGTCAGATAGTTCTAGACTAGAAAATCAGCTGTGTTAGTTGGGGTCTGTTATCTGGGTTGAGTTCTGTGAGCTTCAGTTTTGTTCTCTGGATTATTCGGCTAGTTATATGTACAGAAATATGTGTAAATATAATACATAATAGAAAGACAGATGATTGAGAGAGATAGGTAGGCAGACAGATGAATAATAGAGATGATCAGGATAATGATGATGATGAGGATGGATGGATAGATGGGTAAATAGGTAGATACAGAGAGGTAAGTGATTAAGAAGGAGACAGGAAAAGAAGGAGGAGAGAGGCAGGGAGGGGGGAAAGAAGAAAACTCTACACGTTAGTTAAGATATACTGGTTAAAGGTACAGGCTCTGGAGTTAGGCTGCCTAAATTAAACCCAAAATGTTTCAGTTACTAGCTGTAGGACTTTGAGCAAGGTCTGCCTGATAGAAGGTTTGTGAGGATTAAACTCAATAATCCTATAAAATCCCTGGCACATGGCCACATTAATAACCAGGAGTTATTGTATGACTACTCTATGTCAGTTACCAAGCTGAGCAATTTATGTGCATTAACCTACCCAACTCTCCCAACATCGCCTAGAGGAAGAAAGATGTTGTCCCCATTTTCAGATAAGGCTCCAGAAAACCACATTCAGCCAGGAGGTCCATGCATCACCCAGCTCTGGGGCTGCTATTCACAAGGAATATCCGAGGCTGGGGCTTTATGGAAATTAAATAACTTGCCCAAGTTTATGTGGAATCCAAAGAATATGTCTGACACTAAATATATGGTTTTTAGCCCCAAGACACATTCTACCATAAGTACTTATTATTATGTTATCCAAATTAGACTGGTTGCAAAACCATTTTAGTATTCAGATGTGTGGAGAAGGGGAAAAAAGCTGTTGAAAAAATTATCTTGACATGTCTCCATTTCTTCTCTGTCCCTTCCGTCTCAGGCACTGCACAAATTCCATTAGCAATCCTATAAAGCCAGCTTACACTGGATTTAAAATTCTTTTGCACTTAAGCTCTTGGTTATTCCCTACTCTCGATTAGCTGGGTGTGGCTTGTCCTTCACTAATCCATCTACAAATGCCCCTTATTTTCCAACCAGTGTGCTATTGGCCATTCTTGCCTCTGTGACTATTAGTGTCTGCTGGGGAAACAAAAGCCAATTTAAATCCTAGCCCTAGGAAATCTTAATTGGGAAGTCAATCTTTCTCCCTGCTCTAAAAAATTCCATTGCTGAAGGCTTGGCCTCAGCACATAGTCAAGAAAGTGGAGACACCCATAGGCATTTAGATAATGGGGCCTGGATTTGACACTGACAGTACCACATGCAGGTTCTAGCTCATGTCAGCATCTCACCTAGACTGCTCGCATCAGTGCCTCCAGCCCACTTCTTTCCCCTTTCTTGTGTCATGCCCAGATTGGGCTCAAATCCAGCATTTAAGAACACCAGGACCAAAACTTTTGATGAACCCTTCTGTCCATGGTGCTGAAAAAATAATGCCTTAAAAGCATCCTTCTTTCTTTTAATACAGTAACTCCTGTCCAATCTCTGTAAGGAATGCAGAGCCAAGTGAGGGAAGAATTAAATACACAGGGGAGAGACAAAGGCAGAGACAGAGAGATAGAGACAGAGACAGAGGCTGTTTGGTGGTAGGAAGAAGCAGGACATAGCAACTAAAGAACATAAATTGTCAGGGAGAAAATGTAGACTTCTGATGCCATTTAAAAATAATTCAATTTCTAAGAAATATTCCTCATTGCCAGAACTTAAGGGATAATATAGAGCTAATGGTTTATAAACACACACACACACACACACATACGTGAACCACCCTTCTCACTACTCTGAGTGAGGCCAGAAACCCTTTGTGGTCTCCTAGCACAAGCATATTCCCTCCTTGTGACTACACCTAGAGTTTCAAAGCATCTTCGCAAAGAAACTATCATTAGAGTGAACAGACAACCTACAGAATGGGAAAAAATATTTGCATGCTACACATCCAATAAAGGGCTGATAACAAGAATCTATATAGAACTGAAGGAAATTAACAAGAAAAAAATCAAACAATCCCATTAAAAAAGTGGGCAAAAGACATGAAGAGAAACTTTTCAAAAGAAGACAGAATAATGGCCAGGAAACATATAAAAAAGTTATCAACATCTCTACTCATCAGGGAAATGCAAATCAAAACCACAGTGAGCTATTACCTAACTCAAATGAGAATGGCTTTTATCAAAAAGTCCCAAAACAACAAATGCTGGCATGGATGTGGAGAGACAGCAACACTCTTAGACTGCTGATGGGACTGCAAATTAGTACAACCTCTGTGGAAAGTAATTTGGAGATATCTCAAAGAACTAAAAATAGAAATACCATTTGATCCAGCAATCCCACTGCTAGGCATCTACCCAAAGGAAAAAGGGCATTTTATAATAAAGACATCTGCACTGGCATATTTATGGCAGCACAATTCACAACTGCAAAGATGTGGAGACAACCCAAGTGCCCATCAATACATGAGTGGATTAATAAAATGTGGTATATGTATTTCGTGTAATATTACTCAACCATAAAAAACAATGCTGAACTAGCACCTCTAATAGTACCCTGGATAGAGCTGGAGACTATCCTTTGGAGTGAAGTATCACAAGAATGGAAAAACAAGCATCACATGTACTTGCCATCAGATTGGTACTAACTGATCAACACCTAGGTGCTCACATGGAAGTAATGTTCACTGGGTGCTGGGTGGGTGGGAGGTGGGTGGTGGGGATGGGTAAACTCACAACTAATGGGTGTGAAGCGCATTGTATGGGGGATGGGCACACTTGCAGCTCTGGCTTGGGCGAGGAAAAGGCAATATATGTAACCAAAATGTTTGTACCCCCATAATAGTCTGAAATTTTTTAAAAAATAAATAAATAAGATAAAAGTAAATAACTTTTAAAAACACATAGAATTACAATAGAACCCAATCACATCTCAATAGAGCTATCAAAATATTTTAAAATACAACACGACAACCTGCATGTTTCTTTGTTATCACATTAACAGCAAGATTCAGTGGTGGGTCTAATATCTAACATAAGTCCAAAGTAGCCATGAGCAATAGCAATAACAGAGTGTAAAAATATCAATTTCTATTGTTGACAAGTTCTCTCAGGTACTGCTAACACAGCCACAGTCTTCTGTCTATATTCATGAGGAAAGTAAATTGTGTGGAGATATTAATGCAAAGAAAAATGTAATGTTTTCCCACCATGCTTTCATGAGTGCAAGAACATACCCTATGCTATACTACCTCTCAACTTTGGTAAAGGTGTAACTTCAATTTTAAAATTTAAAACTGTAATGAAACAGAAGAATAATACTTAACAAATAAATATGCTTAATAGTAATAATACGTAATAAAATATAGTAAGGCTGAAGGACTTGTGCAGGGGTAAGTGCCACAGCAGTGGGGCATAAAACCTTCGGTGTGTTCTGGACTCTGCAAGGGTTCCTTTTCCACACCAAGTGCAGTCATTGGATATATTCGTTATCTATTGTCACAATAACGCCATGTGACACACAGCCACAAAACTTCAGTAGCACTCAATAATGGCATTTCCCATTCACACATCTGTAGTGTCCAGCTAGGAAGCTCTTTCGATTTTGGCTGGGCTATGCTGGACTTGCCCACAGATGTGAAGGTTGCCTACTTAGCAAGTCTAGGGTGGCCCTGGTTGGAATAACTAGTCAACCATATCTCCTTCATCCTCCCACAGGCTAGCTCAAGAAGGCTGTCATGGTGACAGCCAAGGTGCAAAAGCAAGCGCCATCACACAAACACTTTTTAAACCTTGGCCTGAGTCACATTAGCTAAGATCCTATTGGCCAAAGCACATCGCGTGGCTAAACTCAGTATTGGATTCAGAGTGGGAGGCCACCACAGAGTTACATGACCACTGCATGGGTACAGAGGACAGCAGAGAATTTGGACCACTGATGCAATCAGTCTACCACATCTTCCAGTAGGTCCTGTTTCATTGCATTCTCCCTCCTGACTTCCACAAAGAGGTTCCCATCACTAACATAATAACATCGAGGATCTCAATATCATGTCAGAGCCCATCTCCATGATTCCATGGTTCCCAGTTCCGAGTCTAGACCTCAAATGGTCTTGCATGCTTGGAACTCAATATCAGATCAGAGACCATCACGACTTCACCTTGAGGTTTTTGTACAAATGACCTGAAGTGGGGCTATTGGTCTCACCAATAGCCTCAAAGTGGTGGAGGATGTGAATTCCCAAGCTGTCTCAGCTGCTGCTGACTGCCAGTCAATCAGAGAAAATTTTCCATCTGGGCCTCCCACTTGGTAGCTTACATAATAAACCAGGAGAGTTCAAATAATCAGCTCTTTATTTTTCTTCACCAAAGTTGGAGTCCTTGATTTACTTAGCACCAAATAAAAGATAAGCATGGTGCTGTCTTCCTCCAGGGACTCCAACAAAGAAAGGGAAAAAAAAATCTTGATCTATTTTGAATTACAGGAATTTCTCATACATCTATTTCTCTACGACTCTCCCTGCCTCTTTTTAAGTGAAAATGATTTGAAATAAATTATTAGCAAGCCAAGGTGATGTACTGAGAAAAATTACATACAAAAGTAGCTAAAACTAACCTCAACAAGTGAAAAATTAAGACACTAGCGTCCAATTGGCAAAAGTAGGCACTATCTGCCTTAATGTCAGGAATGTAGTATATATTACACTAACCTGCTCCAATTCTTTAATAGCTCTTGACTTCCCACCAAAATATTTAACCTGACATTCAAGACCCTTCACAATCTAGCCTCAACTAACTTTTCTAAGGAGATGTCCCAACACTTGTCTTTGTATGGTTTGTGCTTTTGTCAAACCAACCTACACACCACACACAATATGTGTTCCTTGTCCCTGAATTTTCTATATAACAAACCACTCTCCAAACTTAGTGGGCTTAAAACAGCATCCATTTTTCATTACTCACACATTTACAGGTAAGATGAATGATCCTGCTGATCTGGGCCGAGCACAATGTGTACCTGCTGCCTCACTCCTGTGCCTGTGGTCAGCTGACAGGTGATTGAGAAAGGATCAAGCTAGGATGGTTGTCAGCTGGGGTGATGAAGATGCCTCGACCACATGTCCCTCATCATCCACAGGCTCACCTGGATTTGTTCTCTGCTGGCAAGACAAGAGGGCAAATAGAAGCATGCAAGACAAGTTTCTGAGAGGGCAAATAGAAGCATGCAAGACCACTTGAGGTCTAGACTCGGAACTGGAACAATGTCACTTCTTCTGTATTCACTTGGCCAAAGCAAGTCACAAAACCAGTCCACATTCAGATACAGGTAAATAGAATCCCCCTAATGGAAGAAGCTGAAAAGTCACATTGTTAAGGGTATAGATATAGTGGGGTATGGAGAATTGGGGACATTTCTGTAATCAATCTATCATAGAGAATTTTTAGACACAGATTTGGCTGGAGAAAAATAATTCCCTTAGCTGCAATGACCAAGATAGAATTTTCTAGATGTTTGTAGATGATGGTGATGATGAGGACACAGATGACTCCTATTGCAATAATACGATGTCTACTACTTCATAGGTTTAGTGTGAAGAACACATCTTCACAGTAAATCTATGAAGTAGATACTATTGCAATCCCCATTTGACAATGGTGGAAATTTAGTCTTCCAGGGGGAATGTACCTTACTCAAGGTTATCCAGCTTCTAAGGTAGAACTGGAAACACGCAGAGTCATCACATGGAATGCTGGACAGCTGGCGTAGGCCCCAGCTGCAGAGAAAATTTGCTAGATGTTTCCCAACTTGGCTGAGAGCTGCAGGAGTCTTTTCTATTCATCTAGTTCTCCTTCTCCTATTGCATCTTCTTCTTCTTTTCATCTCTCTTGATTATCCCTATTTCTAAGTCTGTTTTTCAGATTTATTCCATAATGTTTTATAATAAAGAACTTTTTTCACTGCTTTATAGAGACACAGAGGGGATTAATAGTTAATTTAATGTTTGCAAAATGCCTTGAGCACCTTGGAATTAAATATGTCGTGTGCAAATAAATAAATAAAGGCTTTAGAGTGTAGAGACATCAGTCTTCCCTCACTCAGAGCATCTAAATGCATGCATACACACAGCCAGCTGAAAATCTACTGATTTCACCACACGGGCACCAAGCGACCCTAGAATTTGCACTTTCCCATGTGGTATTAGAAGGAAGAGATGAGACCCAAAATTCCATCACCCATCACACTGCCACCTATATAGGCAGGAGATGAAAATCAATACAAATGCCTTCCTAATGTTTGATAATCCAAGCCCCCTCCCTAGGACTCCCATTGCACTAACCCCTTTACTACCCTTCCCATGCCCTTTTCTCCCTGTTCCCACCATCTCTCCAAAACCACTCCAGGATCCTACCAGCTGATGGGTGACTGGGTGGTGAGGGTAGAATAAGAGGTCTTATTTTAAAAAGAACAAGAAGGAAAGACAGCAGGAGATCTGAAGCTTATATGGAGCCATCTCTAGGTTACTGCCATGCTTTCATTGATAACTAGTTTATCAGCACTACTATCTCTGACTGTGGCAGATAGAGCCTCCACTCATGCCAGCCACTGCCAGCTTCTTGAATCCCCATCTAGCATTCCCTGAGAACTCAGCATTCGTGGAAGTCGGGGGTGCAAGGATTCTCTGGAACTCATAATTTGAATGAAATTGCATGGTAACAGTAACATCTTCTCTTTGGAGAAACCATTTCAAGTCCTAAACAACTGAAATATGAGTGGACTTTTAGGGTAAAATTCATGGTTGCCAAGGTAAGGTGGATTTACCATGAGATGAAGCAAACCAGAGGAGAAAGAGCCTCCAATTTCCAGGCCCACCCTTCACCCTCATGGTGCATTTTTGTGAATTGTTTTCCTTCTGAGGCTGTTCTTGATTTTCATTTTGACCAGAGTAGAGGAGTGAGCAGGAGAACACATCATGTGAGTGGCCCTAACCTCCATCAACTTTGGAAGGACCATGGGATGGAAGATGGACAAAGAAATTAATGTGTCCTGGGTGCCTCTAGGAGCTGGTTAAGTTTTGTTTCTCTGCATTGTCACATTTCATCCTTCATATTCTTCAAGGGTATTATTAGAAGAATATAGAAATGTTATCTGCATTTTACTTATGACGTCGGTGAGGTTAAATATCTCACCCTGGGTCTCTCACATAGCTCTTCAGTGGATCGTGGGCTCCCAGAGCAGAGGGCAGAATCTTATACACCTTTGCTTCCAAGTACCTAGCATAGACGTGGCATAAGACAGGTATTCAGTACACACTTACTGAAGAAAAACTGAGAAAGTGGCAGAAGTGGAATTGAAATCTATCCCTATCAGTCTCCAAAATCTTTGCACCTTTCTACAGAACCAACCTCACTGTGTCTAAGACCCAGGAGTTTTTATCTTGGCATGGAAAATGCCCAAGACTGAAAATGTATTAAGCTATTTGTTGGTTCTTCCTTTCCTTCCCGAAAATGATGTATCATTGGAAGCATCTCCTTTGACAGGACAGGTATTTTTTTATTCCTCTTATACACTTGTATTCTCATTTCTTTTCCCCCTTCCAGGGATGGGTCCTGAGCTAGAGCAACTCTCTATACTGGATTCATTCGTTTTTCCAATGTAAATCCATTTGAGTAAGACCCTTGAATTCTTGGCAAACTACCTATTTAGATCTGAAAACTATATGCAGATGGGAAATTCTTATCTTATTACCAGTTAGAGCTTTGGACCCAGTGCTACAGACTTCAGTAGGATCTTGCCCCGAGGCACCACTCAGCCCTCATTTCCCTCCCTATCTTCCCTATTCATTGACCCTGGTCTCAATGGCCTCTCTGTTGCTTTTTGGACAAACCCATAATACTCCCATCACAGGGCCTTTGCGTTTGCTGTTTCCTCTGCCTAGACCTCTCTTCCTGTAGAAACTACATTTCTCACTCCTTCACATCCTTCAAATCACTGCTTAAATGTCACTGTATCAAGATGCCATTCCTGACCACACTATCTCAAATAGTGCTTCTCACCCCATCATTCTCTTTGCCTTTAACCTACTTGTTTTCTTCATGGCCTCAACACTACCTGGCATATTATAGATGGATTTGTTTATTGTGTGTTTCCATCTCCCACCAGGATGTAGGATCTTTATTTTGGTCACTGCTGTATCTTCAGTGCCTAAAACAGTGCCTGAAACTTAATGAAAACTCAGTATTTTCTGAATGGATGGAATTCCTGCATCATGGATGGCAAACACATGTGCCCTCACTCCTCTGTTCCATGTCTGCTTCAGACCTCACTAACCAATCATAGTAATCACCCTGATAAACCAACACAGAGCCTCAGAGTCTGTTCCACACAGCACTCTGGCCACAGCCACCAACCAACTGAAGTCAGCATTTGCAAAGAAACTTATTTGCCCTTTTTGTGTGGACTTCTACCCTGGTGAACTGAGCTGGCCCAAACATTAGTCATGAGAACCCGCATTTGTGGCTTTGACTTAAGGCCAAGATTATACATTAGCCAAGTGGACACTATTGGACTATTAGAATAGTGGACACTATTCCATCCATAGTGTCTTTATTTCTGCTGGGTCCACAACCTGATCCTCTGATTTTGCCCGGAGATGTACTGAAGCTGGCTTGGACTGGGTCCCTAGAGCAGATTGTGCAGTAACTACATGTTGGTATCTTAGAATCAGCCTTGGAGGGAGTATTTACACCATAGTAATTAGCATGTGCTACAAATCAGGGCTTGTTTCTTGTTTGCTTTTCTGAGACCTAGTTGTTAAACCAGCACATCACTTCCTCAACTCTCTGAATTCCAATAACTAGAGGAAATGTAGAAGAACAAGTCCAAAGGGAAGGTTTCTTTTCTCACGAGAACAGAAGTGGCCTAAGCCACTTCCCATGGGCCCCAGCCTGGTTTCTATTAATATTTAGTCTTGTAAGGGAGGGAAAGGAAAGAAAAGCAGTCTGTGTTACAGGAGAGACAGAGAGAGTAGCAGCTTGACACATGGAAGAAAGAGGTTTTAGCCTCTTTGTTCTTTCCATGAAAAACTCCATCCATACTCCTAAGCATCATCTATGGGTCCCTCCCCATGGTGAAGTGAGGCTGAGTGAGGAAAGGACCTAGAGAGACTCTCTTTATACTTTATGCTTTTTGTACTACCTGCACCAGAATCCCCCGAGATGTCTGTTAAAATATTCATTAGCCTGGTACCACCCCAGAGGAGCTGATCAAACTCAGAAGATGGAATTTAGAAAAATGCATCCCAATGAACACAACAAAATGACTCTTATGAGCACAAAAAGTGATTCTTGGATTGGTTACATTGAATCAGACTCACTCAGGGAGGTCATTTAAAACCTTTAAGAGATTCTGGGCCTCTTAGCAAGTGATTCTGATCAGTAGGTTTAGGGTGGGGCCCTAAAATCTATGGTTTGATAAAGATTTCCAGGTGATTTTGATGATAGTCTAAGTTAGACTTTGTTATCAATACAGATTTTCCTTTTTTGTTCACAAGATGAGCTTTTTTGAATTTCCTGACTTCTTTGCAAGAACAGGCCTTATCTATTGTAAAAAATCTGGATACTTTATTTTTTAAAATTTTTTATTTTAAATAATGGGTACCAAATAGTTGTATATCTTTATAGGTGGACGCTTTCTTTAGATAAACACCAATAAACATATATAGAACACATATGGTAGGACTTATGCCAAGCTTTTTGTTTGGCTTATTTTATTTAATCCACAAAATGAGCCCGTGAGATGCAGAGGTGGATGGTGTTATTATTCCCATTTTACAGTTGAGGAAGCTGAGGCTTAGAGGAGTAAAGCTATTTGTGCAAAGCCAAAAAAGTAAAAAGAGGCAAAACTAGAATTCATACCCAAGCAGTTTGATATTGGAACTCTCACACTCCTAATTAAGTTTACTGTTTAAAAATAAATAGTAATTTTTAAATCTCTCAGTGTGTGAGCAAAATGATTGATTTTTTTAAAAACTAATGCCAAACATTTCTCCAAAATGATAAATTCTACTTTTCTAGATTTTCCTCATGTAGAAGTCTGAACCAGTTACGATAGATTTATATGGGTAGAAAGCAATCAGAATAATTGTTTTAGGTAGAGCAAAGTAACCAATAAATTAGCTTGAACATGACCTTTCAGAGGCAGCCTTCTATTTTGTTCCTATTCTCTGCCCCTGAATTGTCGCTCGTTAATTGGTAGTTTGTTCTCTAGTTGGGCTGCCTGTTTCTGACACTGGGTAATGCATTATGAGATAATCTACTTCCTGTGACTTCACACGGTTCCCATGGCAACCATCAATGCCATTTCTCTGCAGAATGGCTGCTTCGCTTGTTTCAAATGTGTTGCAGAAATGTAAACATCTTTGATAAAAATGCTCAGTAAAATGACAGTCCAAGCAAAGAATGGCATTTATATAATTACAAAAGGGAAACAATCTATAATTATTAGAACTCCTTTCCCCAGATTTAAAAAGGAAGGTGTAGGGTTTTTGGTTTTGGTTTTTTACCTTTTTTTGTTTGGGGAAAGAAAATAAGGAAAAGGTTTGCTTAACAAGACAGAATTGAAGAGACACAACACTTCTGTCAAAAGACCTTGTTCATTAAAGCTATAGTTCATTATAGTTAAGGTGGCAACATTTCGGGAAGGAAACAACCATATCCATCAACCCAATCGCCACAAATACAAGGGAAGTGGCTCACCTGGAACATTGCCTCAGGTGACCTACCCATCCTGACATTCAACACTAATAACCCAAGATTCTCTTGGTTGATAGAAAGAGTCCTTCATTTTTAATTCCTGCTGGCTGGCTATCTGTTTCCCCAAAGTGAAATTTCTCATCTCAAGATGCAACCCCAAAATAAAGTGAGTTAGTAATTGGATCTTTTTTTTAAATAGCTTTTTTGAAGTATAACTGATAGACCAAAAACCTGCACATATTTAATGTATACAATTTAATAAGTTTGGACATAGCATCTGGATCTTGATGGCAACTGCACTGTGTTCTCTCTTCTTTGTACATGCTGTTCCGTCCGCCTCAGATGCTTTTCCCATCTTCTGGGCAGGCTCATTCCAGCCGTCCTTTGGAACCACATTCAAGGATCCGCCGCACTGGTGAGGCCTGGTAGAGGCAGAATTCTAAGATGGTCCCCAAGGTTCCTGCCCCATGGTGTAGACACCTCAAATAACCCCTCTCCTGGAGTGTGGGTGGTACCTATGTGTACACTGGCATATCTCTCCTGGGATCAGGTTTATCCAAAGGGAGTTTATTCTGATGGGCCCCCCATAATCAGGTAAGCTCTTAAGGAAGTAAATACAGGGCAGCCAGTTTCAGCTTTGACACATAAAGAGCTTGGACATTGTCATACCCATCCTTACACTAAGGAAAAACTGGACAACCTAAAAATTAATAATTGTATTGGACCTGTAAGAGAACTGGAAATGTAGGAAAAACTGTCACTGTAAAATATGGAGGGACGGTCTTGAGATCTGCTTACCTAGAGAAGCTGCCTCTGGAGTCATAAACTGGTAGAAAGACTCAAATGGTAATTTTGACAAATTTCTGGAGGCTGAGTGTAGACTTCCGTGAGAGTGAGAAACCTGTAGGGGCCACAGTCGTAGGGGGACCTCCAAATAATTTTGGATTTTCCTCCAGAAACCTACCAGGTTCACAAGGCAGAGATCTGAGAAAGACCCCGTTTCAGGCTCTGCTAGCAGGAAATGTTAAGGATTGCAGATTTAGAAACCAGGCATGGCTATCTGCCTTGCACTGCCTGCTTACAAGGTTCATTCAATCTTCTTAACAAATGTATGAGAGATTAAGAAGCTTGCTTGCAAGGAATGATAAATTTGAAATTCGGGGGGAGAAGGAGGACAGCACAGAGTGCAGATGGGGAGAGAGATGAGGAGAAGAGGATTTCTGGGTGGTCATAGCCAGTTTATTGTTTTTTGTATATTATCACTACATTCTAAACATTTATTTTTATGTATTCATTTATAAAATCAAATGTTTAAGATACAGCATGTTTGCCCGGGGTTACAAAATTAGTCTGTGGCAGAACTGGCTGGCACTTCGATTCAGACTTTGCGAATCTAAATCTGGTGTCCCTCCCACTCCTCTGTCGCGTAGCAAATGCCACCATGAGTTATGTCGTGGTGTACCAAACCAGCATCTGTATCTGACCGGGTATCCAGGGAGTAGGCATGATTATCTGCCTTGGTTAATACCTTGACATTTAATAACAACAATGCCCTTGTTATTATTACTGTTATAATAGTCTTTGCAATGCACAGATGTGCATTATGTAATGCTATGTCTGGTTTTATATATATGTATATATAATCACTCAATCGCATCACAACAAGTCCTATTATTTTCATTATTCAGAAAAGGAAATTCAGATTAAGTCACTCACAGACTACAAGGGATTGAACGCATTTCTGCCTGACCCCAAAACACGATTGTATCCACTAGTCTCTTCTTGTCAAGTCCATCCCTACCCTCGGTTTTGTAATCGTGCTTCTCTGCGGTAAAGGGGGAGGTGTGCAGGATTGCTCTGACTCTGTCCCAGCTACCTGCCCTGGGCTTACACAGGAAGAATAATCGCAGAATGGTTGTCAAGGTTGCGTTTCATCCAGAGCTTCCCATGAGCCAATCAGTCATTGCTGCTGAGCCTGTGGCTCCCACGTGAGACCAAAGTGTCCTCCTGCCCTCTGACTCTTGGGACAGACATGCTCAGGCAGCCATGCAGCGAGAGACAGACCAAGACAGAGACAGAAACACAACTGACTCCTTCAGAGGGCTCCGGAGTCCACCTCCCCACTTGCATAAGGGAGTGGGGATGTTGGGGTTCACATCTTTCTAGTCACGGTGACCTTGATTTTGTAGAAGAGCATAGCCCAGTGGGTGCCCTGGACACGGAACAATCCCATGAGTAACTCATATCATTTTTGCATCCTTATGGCAATGCAGTGCCTGAAATATGCTGACGGCAAAAGACAGGTGTTTCTTCCAGAGCCACATGGTCCTTTCCCTCTGCTCCCCGCACTCCTCTTGATGAGCAAGCACTGAGCTGGCCTCGCCATCTTCAGCAGCGCATCGAGCCGATGTCCTCGTGCAACAGTTCTCAGGGAAGTCAGGGCCCCGCTCTTGGGTCACAAAGGAAAGTGAAGAACACTTCTTCTCCTGCGTGCTACCTGGGCTGGTTCCCTCTCGGCCCGTCGCCTCACACTAGGCACCATGCGTGTGAGTGTCACACTTTGCCCTCCCCCCAGGACCCTCCCCACATCCTTCCTGGAGCCCCTGTGTCCTGCCATGTCATTAAATGGAAAAGCTCAGAGAGACTTGCATCCTTAGAAGTCCTGCGAAGGGCAATTGTGAAAGTACTTAGAAGTCCACGATCCCATGCAAACCCTGGGCCTTCCGTTTCCCCCTCTCAAGAAGGGAGGTTGACATCAGTTTCTGAACATTAAGCTGGTTTCCAGTCTATAAAATACCCCCTTCCCCAACCCATGGCAGGAGTAATTTTTAAAATATCTACTTTCATGTGGAATAAATCCCAGCACTTGTCAACTACCATCCCTGCTTTTTTTTTTTTTTCACAGTTCTGTCTCCTTGTAACATATTCTATTATTTAGTCATTTGTTTTTCTGGGAGTCTCTCTGCTCCCACCAACACTAAAAGATAAGCCCAGGAGGCCAGGGCTTTTTGTCGGGGATCTTAGCTCTGTATCTCCTGTGTTCTAAACTCCAGTATGTACTTGGCACTCAGTAAATACTTATTGACTGATTGAAGAAATGAACAAATGAATATTAGAAGAGAATATTTTTTAGGTTTTTAAATACACTTGGGTATTTAGAAGTTTATTCCACCCCCCCCAAAAAAAAGACTATCCCTAAAAAATAATCTCATATTATGTCCTTACAAAATCTCTGAATGAAGCTATTCACTCAGTTTTTCCCGGGGTTATGACTTCATATTTACAAATGTCAGATGCCATTCTAAACCAGGCATGCTCAAGTTGGACCTGCTCTTGGACTTTAATTTTGGCCTAAGCAGGTCTGAGTTCAATCTGGCAAACAAGATTGCTGACCAATACAGAGCAGGAGGGAGCCGTTGACCTCATTTAACAAAGATTCCTAGTGAATCTTTGGAAAATAATATAAACCAATGTTTGTAACACACTACTCTGAGCCAACCATGTTCTTCTATGTGCTAAAGCAGGTAGAAGAGCATGATTGACTCACTTTACACACACACACACACACATACACACACTATGTACTGTGGCTCATAGTTTATATATACGTGTGTGTGTATGTGTGTGTAATTTCATTTAATTCTCACAAGGACCCTATGAGCTGCCCATTTCATAAGTGGGAAAACTGAGGCACAGCAAGGTCAATGACCGGCCCGAATCACACAGCTAGTAAGTGGCAGAATCAGGGTTCGAACAGTAGCAGGCTTGGCCAGAGACCACGCCATGCTTCATTGCTGACACCAACTTGAATTTCATGTGTGGGGAACAGAGTGTTGTTAGTAAACCCATCCAAAGAATCTGGACTTGCCCCTTTCCCGTGTGCTGTGAGACATCTGGACACACAGGAATGTCCACAGGGGGCGATTCCTGGCAGGACGCACCTGCCACCCGAGGATGCCCAGCTCCGCAGGCGAGTGACCGGGCGCGCATTCTCACCTGCAGCCACGGGGGCGTGGGCAGTCCTGCACACGTGGCCAGCAGGCTGGACGTGCTCTGCTCCGTGTCCCCCGCCTGCTAATCCCCACGGGCTGCGCTGGCTGGCTTTGACTTCAAACACAAAATCTTTTTTTGATTGAGATTATGCAGCTCCCTAAAGGAAAAGGATTATTGCCTGCTAAAAGAAACGTTGTCACGGAAATGGAGCGTGGACATTTGGACTTGTAGCGAGTGCAGTGTTGGTGATGCAGGGAGGGGAGGTGAAGACCCTCAGCAGCACAGCTGGGGATAGAAACCAGTGAAGTGGGCTAATTGTCAGAAAAGGAAAGGCGTAATTGTGTTCGTTCCCTATCTTAAAGTGGAGGAAATGTGCTGCAGCGGATGAGAGTTCTGGAATCTGAACTGAGCATGAGCCTAAAGAAGGAGCAATGATTCACCCCATCGTAAGCATGGGGTTTGGGATTCGTTCAGTACTAAGTTCAAAGCCAAGGCCAACACTACTTGCCTGATGTTG